GACTCACATGTTACTACTTTAAAGTCAGTCGGGGTTTTTATTAAACTTTCATTTTGAGATACTGCAGGTTCATGTGCAGTTGTAAGAGGGATCCCGGATTCCCCTAAGGGTGACCTTGCACAACTCTAGCTCAGCATCACATCCGGGATGGGGACACTGATATGGTCCCCACAGAGGTCCTTCATGTTGCCCTTTAATAGACACATCCCTTCCCGCATTACCATACATCCCCTCTGTCACCCTTGGAAGACTCATCAGTCTTCCACTTCCATAATTTGTCACTTCAAGAATGTCCTATAAACGGAATCACACACTATGTGACTGTTTGAAGTTGGACTTTTTGCATCCAGCAGCGTTCTCTCAAGATTCACCCAGGTCGTGACGTGCAGGAATAGCTCAGTCCTTTTGATTGTTGCACAGTGTTCTGTGGCGTGGGTGGACCACAGTTTGTCTAACTTGTCCCCTGTCAAAGGACATCTGGGTTGCTTCTAGGCTTTGGCCTTTCTGAATAAACCTGCTGGGAACATTCGCTGGCTCAGTGGAAGGGCCTGAGCAGGGGGACAGCGCAAACCCTGTGGGGCCTCTGTGTAGACCAAGCGTAGGCAACATCCCAATACATAATTGAACAGGCTTTTTGCAGCCTGGACACAATGCAATGGGCTACCAGGAAAGGCCATTTGGGCTCAAGTTCCGGCAACATTTAAAAAACAACGAATGCTGTCTCAGGACAAAAGAATCTGAAAAAGGAATGGACATCGATTAATAATAATACCACCATTTTCACCATGATTAAAAGGAATTGCCGAGGCAGTGCTTGTGCTGAATCCAAGCATTTTCTAAATTTCCATGTGAAAAAAGAATATCTGATAGTTCCACTTGGAGAGCAAACAGCCCAGGAGCCCTCCTACTGCTCACGAGCCTGAGAATCGCCCAAAACCGAGCGGGAGAGCTTTGCCCTGTCTTTTGCTCCCTCCAGAGAATATGCTTCCTCCGCACCGGAGCTGGCCCGTGGGGCCAGGACACGGTGTCTGCCTTGTTACAAAGGAACAGTTGTGAGTGACTGTCTTTTCAGAGGCTCTGGATGGCGTCTCTGTGAAAACAGACCAATGACTGAGTGACGTGAGCTTGGAGCCTACATTTGGTATTGTCAGATTTAAAAAAAATTATCTTAGCTATGTGAGGAGATGGGAAGTGAGATGTTGCTGTCACTTTAATTTGCATTTCTTTGGTATCCACTGGTTGTTGAGCCTCTTTTCACGTGATGACTGGCCATTTCAGTGATCTGCTCCGCTTTTCATTTGTCTGTTGTTCCTTTCCCATCTTCTTTCGGATTAATCAGATGTTTTATATTTTTTTCCATTTTACATCTACTGGCATCTTAGCCAAACCCTTAAAATTTTATTTATTTTTTGTCGTTTTCCTCTAGGAATGGATATCTTTATATTAAATTGTATTTTGAGTCAGTATTGTATTACTTCAGTCTTCTCTGTACACAAGGCTTCTCATTGCTCGCTTCTCACTTTACACCCGAAAGTTCCCACTTCACAAGTACAGCAAACTCCCAAATGTGCGAGTCCTCTGCCCATGCCATCCTCTGTGCCATCGTTGTTATATCTCATACATACATTTTAGACCATCACACAAACTTATTAGGTATGTTTGTCTCTTGAGGAAATCAGGGGGACAAAAACGCCTAACAGCTACATGTACCGCCTTGCCGATGGCTTGCAGGGCCGTCCTCTCCTCCTTATGTGTCCAAGTTTCCATCCAGCACCGTTTCTTTCCACTCTGAAGAACATCCTTTAGCATTTCTTGTAGTACCTGCCTGCTGGCCACAGATTCTCCCAACTTTATCTGAAAATATCTTTATCTGCCCTTATTTTTTAGAGTATTTTTTCTGGACATAGAGTTTGGGTAAGTTTTTAAAATTCAGCACTTCACTGGTCGATACCACTGTTTTCTGGTTTACATTGAGTCTGATGAGAAGACAATGGAAATTCTTATCACCATTGTCTTGAAGGCAACGTGTCTTTCTCGGTAGGTGGCTTTCAAGATTGTCTCTTTACGGTCTTTAACACTTTGACTGTGAGGTGCCTGCGTGTGTTTTTATTTGTATGAATTCTGAGGTTTTGCTCAGTTTCTTGACCTATAAATCAATCTTTTTCATGAATTTGTGAACTTTGGCCATTATTTTTTCAAATAAAATCTCTGCACTATTTTAAATCTCTTCTCCTTCTGAGACTCTTGTGACATGATGCTAGGGCCCTTTATATTGTCCCATAGATCTCTAAGGCTCTGCTCATTTTTCTTCAATCCTCTTTCTCTTTCTCAGATTGAATAACTTGTATCGATCTGTCTCTAAAATCACCACTCCTCCTACTTCCAATGGACTATTAAGCCAATGCAATAACATTTTCATCTCAGTTGTATTTTTCAGCTCTAGAATTTCCATTCTTTTTCATGCTTGCTATCAACTCTGCAGTGAGTCCCTTTCTCTTTACTGATTAAAACCATATTTTAATTTAATTCTTTGGAGATATATATTATATATATATTATATATATATACTGCTTTATAGTTTATCTGTAAATACAACATCTGGGCTATCTGGGAGTTGGTTTCTATTGACTACTTTTTTTTTCTTGACTATGGTTTATACTTCCTGGTTTTTGCATGTCTAGTACATTTTTTCGTGTATATTGGACATTGGTAAATTATAAGTTGTAGAGACTCTGGATCATCTTCTGCCGGAGAGTCCTGACATTTGTAGTATCTGGCAGTTCAATTACTGTCATTATGACCTTGACATTGTATAGGCTTGGTTTTACCCTTTGTTAGGCTGGACCTGAGAAATGTCCTAGGTGTCCCCTACTTGGCAGGATTCAATGTTCAAATCTCTCTTGCTGCACTTGTCAAGGCTTTGCTTCACATTTTGTTAAGGTAGGTCTAGCATAGGCCTTCTTTTAGGGCAGGGGATAGAAATGGTTCACAGGCCACTCTTGGCCATGGCCTGTTTTTGTATGGCCTTTGAGCTAAGATAGTTTATATAAAAATACATATTTAATATTCACCTGAGGATATGTTTTTATTGGTTTTTGGAGAGAGTAAGAGGGGAGAGGGAGACACACACAACACCCCCACCCCCACCATGTGAGAAACATCACCTGGTTGCCTCCTGTACATGCTTAGACTGGGGATCGAACCCATAACCTACGTATGTGCCCTGACCAGGAACTGAACCCACAAACTTTTGGTGTACAGGACAACACTTCAATCAACTGAGCCAGCTGGCTAGGGTAGTTTTTATATTTTTAAATAACTATTTTTAAAAAACACACACAAAAAAAATGTGTGATAGAAACTGTACATAGCCTTACAGCCTAAAATACTTATCTGGGCCTTGAAGGATAAAGTTGGCTGGCCTCTGGGCATGTGGTACTCAGTGGAGTGTCCCTATTGAACTGGGTGTTCATGAGGTATCAGTGAGGTCTTTTCTGCAGCTCTGCATGACCTCTGGTCTTTGTGCCATTATCAGCTGTGTAACAGCCTCTTCCTGGTAAGCCACATGGAGGCTCATCCTATACATGCGGAGCCCAGCAGAAGCCAAGGGCTTACAGGGACCCCCCCACAGACGCTGGCTCTTCACTCCTGCCGAGCCCCTTCTTCCCGAGGCTTGGCCTGCCGCCCGGGTTCCAGCCACCCTACCTCTGATCTTTGCCTCCCCGCCTGGCTACGGTGCACTGTGCTGCACTATCCTCACACACTTAGTGGCTGCATTCACACTCAGACTATTTCACAGGTACATTTACTTTATTTCATTTGCAAAAGTTACCCTAAGCGTACTTTCCTTACAGAAGAAACTTATATGCAGTTAAAAGTAAGGTTCCGCTTTGTGGCATTCCCCGAATATGTACCACTGCCTACGCCATGAAGGCCCTGTGGAACTGGGTTGGCATGGGGGTGGGGTGGGGTGGGGTGGGCTGGAGACACATGTAAAAGGCATAGTCCCCAAAGTCAGAATTTTCAGTGTCAGGGACACAGGAAGGGAGGGCCAACAGGAGTTTCCAATGTGCTGTGGAAACTCAGAGGCGGTTCATTCCAGTGATGGAAGGATTTGTGGCAAGTTGGCCTTGGAGGTGAGCTTGGAGGGATCACTGGGGTGCTGTAGAGTTTGTGGTTGGAACGAGAAGATAGTAATCTTGTTGTACTTTATGGCAGTATTACTTCATAAGACCAGTGTAACAAGAAAACACAAGACAGAGGGTTTTGCAAGGGCTAACTGCCATTCAGCCCAGTGGAGGGAATTAATCCAGTGTCTTAACTGATTCGGCCTGAGGCCTCCAGTATAGGGTGAAAATAACAAGGCTAGTTTACCCGCAAGCCCACACGATGAGAAATTGCCTGTGTCTACAAGTCATTGTCAGTGACCCCCAGGGTCACCCCTGTTCACGTGCCATCAGTGACTCCAGGGTCATGCCTGTGTTCACACGTCATGACCAGTGACATCTTCTCCCAGCCAGGGTCGTCCCCGAGTCCACGGGCCCTTGTCCTTGGCCCCTGAGGTTGTGTCCCTGTCCACATGCTGTCAGTGACCCCCACCTCCCGTAGCTGCCGCCTGTGGAAACTCCGTGGTGGGTCGGGGACAGCACCAGGTACGGGGCGTGGCGGTGGAGAAGGCCCTCGAGGCCACATGCACCCACCCTGGGCGTCGTACACTCCGGGAGGAACGATGTCGTGGGAGCCCCGCGGTGCACCCTCCGCTCCGGGAGGCCAGGTGCCCGGTCTGCCGAAGGGAGACGCCGGTCCGGGGGACGGCTGCCAGCCGTGCACCCAGTACAGCTCCGCACAATTGCCGACAGCCCGCCTTCCCACTCAGCACGCCGAGCCGCCGGGCCACCTTTCGGTCGGAGGACAACGCTCGCTCGGGCGGGAAGCCCTCCCCTTTAAGACGGGCGTCCCGGAAGCGGTACCGCGGCAGTGCCGGTACCGGAAGTGGATGCGGCCGGCAGCTGCAGGCGGCCGGCTGGGGAGCTTCCTCCCGCGGCCGGGCAGGCGTCGCTGTTGCGGCCGGGGGTGCCGCTCAGGCTGGGGCTGGCCGGGTGCGGCCTCGGGGCTGCCCATGGGGCGCGGGGGGCCGGGCCGGTGACGCCGGACGCCCATGGACGCCCCTGAGGAGCCGCTGCCGCCGGTGATCTACACCATGGAGAACAAGCCCATCGTCACCTGTGAGTGCCCGTCGGCGCGGGAGGGGGCGGCGGCCGTTGCTGGCAGCCCGGCCCATGCTCGCCGGCCCCTTGACCCCCGCGCTAAGGCCTGGGCCGCTTCCTGGACGGAGGTGTGGCTGGGGCGGCGGCGGGGTCCCCGCGGACGACCTCCGACCCCGCAGGAGACGTCGTCCCGGACCGTTTCCTTGCACTTTGACAGCGCCCGGGGCAGGGCGTGCTCCGAACGGAGGGCGAGGTTGGGGGCCCTGCCGTGCCCCCGTCCAGTTCCTGGGCTCGGGCGCCGGCCCTCCGACCGGAGGGCACCGTCCCTCCCTGCTGGGGGTCGTGTTGTCCTCCCGGTCACTCCGCTCCCCGACCCCGGGGAGGGCCCTCGTGGCTCGCAGGCTGGGGAGCGTGGATGAAGTTTGCGGGCGTTTATCATGTTAGGAGACGCGAGTTTGTACTTCAGCAAAGTGTTAAATGGTGAACGGCGCGGGTAGTCGGTCAGAGCCGGGGCAGTCTGCGCTTGCACGGGCGGTCCGGCACCGGGCGCGGCAGGCCCGCGCCTGCCCTCCTGCTGTGCAGGGGAGAAACCCATTTCACAGCTGCGACCGCAGAGGTTGGGTGAGCCCGGCTCTTGGACGCGCACTCCAGGCAAGTAGACCGGCGCCTTTACGGCCGTAACTGTAGACTTGAATACTTTAAAAAACGCCGGTAGGTTGAACTGTTGGCTGACGTTTAGGTGATTTGCAGAGTGTCTCGGAAGGCCTTCCATGTGGGGAAAGGGAGCGCTGCCTACAGCAAAATCTGGGCGGTCGGGCCGTGGAAGACTATGGGTGTCTCTCTCTCTCTTTCTCCCTTTTTAATTTTTTTTCTGATTAGTGGACTCCTTGTGTGCCCCTTCTTGTCAGATCCCCGAGAAACTGTGTATTTAAAGTTTGTTGGCTGCTTCATCTTTAGATGGTAAACTTTCTTATGGGAATGGATGGTTTCATCTAAATTTGGAGACCGGCATGGTTCAGCAGTAGCTGTCGTCTGTGTCCTCCCCCGCTGCCCCGCCCCTGCCCAATACCTGTAACTCCAAGTCTAACTCAGGACTGCACCAGGAGTCGGAGAGGACAGGTGTGTGCCCTTGACCTTCAGGCCCTCCCATTCCCAGGTGCTGTCTGAGTCCTCAGGGGCAGGGCGTGCCTTGCTGTCTCCTTGGGGGGAGGTCCCCTAAGACTTCTCTCCAGAGGTATCACGTGTAGGGGCACCCACGCATCTAATGACAGCTCATGTCCCCTAACTTACCTTTTTAGAGCAATGTGCTTCTGTATGTGTTGTGTCAGTCTGGTTTCCCAGATGTTCCTAGAGCTCTGGTGTGTCCCGTGTGACCAGGAGTCTGAGAGCTGCGTTAATGCGTGGATTCGTGCACACGTGCGAGCCAGGGAGCTGCGGGACTGTTCCCTTTCCCACAGATTTGTTGTCTTGGTGGAGGTTTCCCCCTAAGCCCTGTCTGCAGGGACGGGATCTGTGTGCATAGGCTGCAGTGAAGTTTCAGGGGAAGTTGGTGAAAAGTGAGAAAGATCCCTTTAAAAGTTAAAAGATTTTTAAACTTTTTGAAAGGCTGCCTTCATAGTTCAGCCTTGAAAGGACATTTTAGTGTCTCTGGGGCTGAAGCTCTTGGTGGCGCTTGCCCTGCTTTCATTTCATACTTCACCTTGTTCCATTCTTTCCGCCCCACACTCTTGGAGGGAGGAGCTAGTCTAGGCAGTGCAAAGGTAGCAGGAAAACTGCTTTGAAAAATCCATCCAGAGCCTTCACATTTTTTGATATTACATATATTGTTTTCTTAGTATGCAGCATTTTTGCTCTCAAAAGTCCAGTTGTGTCTTCTCCTTGAATACTTGCCTAGCCGTTGGCCTTATGAGGCTGTGTTCATTTTAAAATGAAAGGAGAGTGTATGCTTGTTTTCAATTTTTTTCAAAGAATTTAGAACATTTTACTTAAGTGAAAATGAATATTGCGTAGATCTTTTTGAGAAGAATGTAGAATGTAACTGGTTTAGGGAAATTCAGGAAATGTTTATATGTGACCATGAGAAGAATGGGAAGTCCCCTGAGACTAGGGGTGCATAGAATTCATTATTGCTTGAAAACCTTGCTGGATTACTTTAATATTCTGAGGCTGCCTACAAGTTTTAATGACCTTCGGTCTGTTATTATAAGTTTTGGAAGCTGCTGCCTGCTGGCCTCTGCTGCAGCGACAGCCTCCGCGGGGGGCCTGCTGAGGCCCAAGGACAGGTAAGCTTGAGAATACTGGAGTTGGCATCTGAAAGGTACCTGACAGGGGTGCTGGATGAACAGCAGTGGTACTAACAACCTGAGGGCATGGAGTGATGAATTACCTAATCGTAGCAGTTTGAATACCTATTATATAATTTATTAATCATGAAAAATGCACAGTAAAACTGAAACAAATCCAGCAGATCCATTTGATCCAAATTTAAGTTTTAGCTTAGTTTTTTTTTTTTTTTTTCCAACCACTGGGTCAATTTTCTGCTTTAGAATAAAGACTTAGGTTTCTGGTCCAAGGTTGTGTTAGGAGAGAGGTGTTCCTTTCCCAGCTCTCTCATTTGTAGACAGAGTTATTTTCATCCCACTGATCTGTGCTGTTGCTTTGTTCACTGCTGGTATCATTCCTCGAATGGCACATACTATCAATATGGGATTGTATAGTATCTGAAAAATAACGACACCCTATCCAAAGGATCTGTTTTCACCTGTCACATTTTAATATTGCCTATTTCATTTTTCGGAATCTCTGTTTTTGGGGTTCTAGATCTGATATTACAAATTTTGAAAGGGGGGAAAAAGGCAACAAAAATGAGCAGATCTGTAATGCTTCGTACCTGGTTGGAGTTTGTATTTTTCCCCCTTGTAGGTTAAAGTTTTAAAATTTGCATATTGCAGTTTTCCACCAATCCTGAAAGTATGGTGCTTGTGACTTAACCACTATCTCCGTTTCATTACCAGAAAAATAACTGATAATATCTTTTTAAAAAAATCGATATACGTAAATGCAAATCTTGGTCCATATTGGATTCTTAGGTCAATAGCAGATCAGCCGCTGAGAAGTGGGAGAAGCCATTCCCCTTAGGAAAGCTCAGTTCCAGGGAGCGTGCTTGGGGGGCAGGGGCTGAGGGCACTGCCAAACGTGCTTGCCTTGCTTTATATGTCATTTCTACATGTGTGGTTAGAAACAGTTAGGTCTTAAATGTGTGACCTAGAGAGTTCTGTAATCTCGTCCTCACCTGTGAACTTGGGACAGTGATAGTACCAATCCAATAGGGGGATGTGGATTTAAAAGTATGAATATTGTGAAGCACTCAGAGGAGGGATCAATATGCAAAAACAGCGGCTAAGGAGAGATTCCTAAACTTTCTCCGTTCACGATGGCTTTAGTGTCCCAGTAACTTTTCCCTGGCACCTGTAGGCCAAAAAGAATACCTAATAATTCCATTTATTAAGTAGTTAGGTCCAAATAATTTTATGAAATGTTATGTCCTTACAGTAGCTATTTGAAAAAAAAATACACGTAATTGGAAGAAAGATGTTTGTTTCATTCTTAGGTACCCACATTAACATATTAGTGGGGCGGTTTCCCCTCTCGGGCACTGCACAACTCCCCTCTCCCGCGAGTCAGAGTGGGCACTGCTGCCCTCTTTGAGATATATATTTTTTGTGGTACTTTTATCACAGCAACTACCCTGTTTTGTGATGATCATGACGTCATTGACAGGACTGTGCCGTGATCTAATTTTGAAACTGAATACCTGAAGTAGGGTTTGCTGCATCTCCGTGCAACTCCCCTGCATGAGTGGGGTTTCCTCATGTACGTGGGGCCTCTGGCGGGGCTGGCTGGTGCCCTGCGGCACTGGATACGGAGCCTGGAACCCGTGTTTTGCATGCATTACCCTGACTCTAGGGTGGATCTGAGCTGATAATTTAGAAGTGAAGAGCTTCCTTGTCTATTTGAACTTCAGTTCACACACCTGATTTGCAGGATGTGTTTCTGAAGAGTTTCTAGTAGAGAAAAATCTGGTGTATGCAAATGAAACTCAAAGGTCTGATTTTTTAAAGAGCTCATGGCTCTCTAAAGTAATCCAGCATGGCAGACCCCACACCGAAGCCAGTCGTTGCTAGAAAGGAGCCGATGTGCCGGTGTGGTCTGCTCAGTGAGACAGGAAAGGCTGCGTTGGTCATCTTTCATTGGAGATGCAAGTGACTTGCTAAAGAATTTTTTTGTCTAAAAAATGTTTTTGCCTCTTGACAGAGTGCCTTTTCGTATGAATTGCACAGTTTCGTGTGTGTGGCCTCACGAGGGATCACTTGCAGATTTTCTGTTCCCTCTGCTCTCACCTGGTGACGTCAGATCCAGATGACAGACCAAGGGTGGCGGAAAGACTGCATAGCTTTAAGTACTCTTGGAGAGGAGGAACTTTATCTCTACCCTTATAGGTTCTTCTGGCTGGTCTAAAAATCAGTAGATGTGAGACAGAATAACTAGAGAAAACAGCCAAATTTAATTACAAATGTTTGTATGGGAACCCCACATATATGAGAGCGCCGTAGACCCCACATGCGTGAGAGGGTCAGGGACAGATGTGGGAAACGGGGGCTGTGTGACATTCTCAGCTAAGGATGAGGCAAGGCACCTGCGGCTGCCGAGGGGGAGAGGGCCACGGCAGGACGGCAGGAGAGCAGGTGTCTAGTGATTAGAAGTGCGCCCTGCTCCGTGGGGAGGGCACAGAATGTTATTTCTGGTGATCACTCTTATTGTGGGCAAGGCCCCTAATTTAAATAAAAGGAGGAGTAAAAGTTTCTCTCGAACCCACAGGGTCTCTATTGCCTTCATGTCAGAATAATCCACGCGCCAAAGCAGCATGTCCTGCGGAGGCCTGTTTTGACCCCGTAAGTTACAGACACTCCTCTTTCTGAGCAGCCTCCTGCTGGACTAGCCTCACAGTCTTCGTGGCC